GGCGAGGCGATGGCAGTGCGGGGAGGCGGTGCGGTGGAGCGGCGGCGCAAAGAAGCGGCGGTGGCTCGGCAGCGCAGGCTGTGGCTGCGGTGGCAGGCGGCGGCGGGTGGCGGGTGAGGAGGAGGGGTCAGGGGCGGCTTATAAGAGGGGCGGGGCGGTAGCGACTTGGGGAGGGGGTCGCGGCGGCGGGGTAAGTCCAGCTTGGACTCCTCCTCGAGTCTGGCGATGGCACGACAGGAGGAGGCGGCGGTGGTGCGCTGGGCCGTGGCCTGGCTCGGCTGGGTCGGCCCAGTTTGAAGTTATTATTATTATTATTATTATTATTATTATTATTATTATTATTATTATTATTATTATTATTATTATTATTATTTTAAAATAAATTTCGCCGCAAACAAAAATCCTAATAAAATATAGATAAATTCTAAAAAATCCAGAAACAATTTTCACTGTCCAAACCTAATATTTAGGACAAGATGAACATTTTTATGGACTAAAATGCAATTTTCAAAAATGCATGTTTTTCTCTAATTCAAATAAAACAACAGATAAAACCCAAATAAAATTAATAATTTGATTTTTAATATATATTTCTTCTCCAATATTTCTCTTCTGATGAAGAAGTCATATTATCTTCTCTCATTTATTTTATTGTTGAAATAATTGGAGAAAAAATATTAAAATCAAATTGATCATCTTTTCAAAGTTAAAATAAATTCAAATATGAAAATTAAATGAAACCTCCAACTCTCTCCTTGGGTCCTTGAGTTGCTTAATGTCTTTAGGATCAAAATGTTAAAATCAAACAAAAAAACAAAGAGCATGAATGCATATGATGACCTAGTGATTAACATCCAAATTGAAAATTGAGATGTTACACCTATTATTAATAATCCATTTATTAATCTAATTGACATTCATATTAAGCACATAATATACTTCATTTCCATATTAAGGAAGTAGAATTTCATAATTGAAATACATGAGAGTACAACATGATATAGCTTCAGCACTCAGCTACCCCATTACACAACTGCACCAGCACCAAGTTTCACATGCAACAAGTAGAACCTTTCGAAATTAGCATCATAGACCGTATATAGACAGATGCATCTCATCTGGAAAATTGCTGAATAGGAAGGCGAATATTGAGCCTTCATTCATGTTGAAGGTCTTTGAAACTTTAGGCTAGTGCATGTGGATGATTAACCGTCCATCCTTCGTCCTCTTCAGGAACACTTCAATATTGAACCGTGGGTGTTGTATGAAAACCCTCCTCGCCTCTTGACCATAGAGGTGGTTTGAGAGGTAATCATCGGTGAACTGCTTTGGAAAGGCCTGAAAACAAGGATATGCATAAATATCTTCTCTATATTGGAAATGGGGCAAAGGAATAAAAAAGGGCAAGGTATAATAGTTAGTACCATCTTGTAGTGAACTCGTGTCTTCTTCATTGTGCAGACAAAGATCTTGTTGTTTTTTGTCGCTAATTTCGTTATCCTAACAATCTTTCTAAGTTTCTTGATTTGATTGATATTCATGGACAACTCATTCCCCATATGCAAAAAGGGTCGAATAGTGGGTCAAAACCTTTGACAGTAGGACCTACATGTGCAAGACCAAAGTGTTAAAAACCTAAATATTAGAATGGTTCCTACAATTGCACAATAATGTGCTATTAGACAATGGACCATGCACGTGCTAAACTCGATTGTAAACCTCAGTGCTTCCCATTGTTTCCCTGCAACACATATATGGTAGTTAGTCATCAGGTTAAGTAAGGGTTCGCATGCTATCAGTAAAATATGTTGATGAAAATAAGCACATTGCAGATTCATCAGATTATTTCTCATGTATTTACTACAGCCAAATTAAGTTTATTCCTCACATGGTATACAATAACAGAATGCAACCACAACTATTGAACATCGCATTGCAGAATTGAACCAAACAGTTAACTAAACACCACAACACAAATGAACCAAATGTTAACTGAGCACCACATTGCATAATGTATAACCAAACCAAGCATTCTTGACAACTTGGAAATATAGCAATTGTATTCGTTTCTCATGTATTTTGTAAAGATAAATTTGATTTATTTCTCACATGGAAGATAATGCAAAATTGCAGCCTGAAGAATTGAACATCACATTTGCAGAGTTGAATCAAAAGTTAACTGAAGACAAAAACTAATTAACAAAACAGTTAATAAGTGAGCACCACACTGCACGACATATAGAACATATACACTAGAGCAACAGATTGCATGGAAAAATTAGATAGCACAATTCACTAGAATTTGTGCAGGAAAGGCAGGAGCAGCACACGCAACGGGTAAACCGAGCATGCTTAACCGGCGTAGCTAGAAAATGGCAAGGTGCTCCTCCAAGATCTGGGGGTTGGCACGAATGGCAGCCATCGCGACCTCATCCGCGCGTGCGGCCGTGATTTGCTTCTCCGCTGCCAAATGCTCCTTCAGATCCTGACTATACTGCGTGCACCATGGCTTAGGGCGGCGCTTATTGGGTGGAGGGGTAGGTTATTTGGGTGGAAGGTGTCGCACTCGCACCGGTAGTCGGGGCATGTGGGATGTGGAAGGAGGAGGAGGATGGGGGTCGGGTGTGGATTACCTGCCTAGATAGACGAGGCCGAGCAGCGTGAAGGAGGGCCGCCGGCGAGGAGGCGGCGCTGCAAGCAAGGAGTGAAGGTTTGAACTTGGAAAGGAAGGCAGAAACAGGGGAAATATGGCTTTAGGTAAGGGGGAGGGGGCGGGGAGGTAGATATTTTCGCGGAAGCTGAAAAACTGGAATTGCTTCAGCGAAAAAACTAGCACGCAAAGTGTCATCAGACACGGTCCCTTATTCAGAACAGTGTATGATATGTGAACATCACAAACGATTCAGATAGCTTAACCCGTGTGTGATGAGTTTGAACGTAAAAAATTTTGGTTCAAATTTCCATGGTTACAGTGGTCATCCACGTCATTGCATAATTTTGATACATAAAGGAGACTACAGCACACCTACACTTCTTAATCAAGCAAGTTCAGCAATTAAACAGAGCTAGCTGACCTAAACATTACTCTAACAAATTAAAGACCGATGCTCTTAATTAAACAAAACAAAGAGTACTACTACGGCTGGTGCTCCTCGATCTCCGCCTCCGCCTCCATGTCCAGCTCGCGCCTGACAGTCTCCTGGGGAAGGGGATCCGTGGCATCCATCTCACCATACTCGGGAAGCATCTCGCCATCCGCATCCGCCATCTCTTTGGAAAAGGCCGCCACGAGCTGGGCGTGGGCGGCCGCGATCTGGGCTTGGACGGGCTCCGTCGTCGCAAGGTATGCGGCGGAGGAATGGATGGCTGCTCGAACGCTCTCGGCAAATGCCAGCTCTTTGGTCGTGGGTTGCTGACCGTTGTCGGAGAAGCTTCATTCGATTTATGCGGTGACTGCCAGGAGCTGGGCATGGGTGGCCTCAACATGGTCGTGGGCGACCTCCATCGGGGCTAAGGCCGCCATTGCGGAACAGACAACTGTTGTGCCGCTCTCGCCAGTTGCTATCCCCGAGGCAGATGCTGCTGCCGCCACCTGAGAAGCAACAGCGGTCGTTTGGGCTGCCTTGGCCGCCCGGTTGCAGATTGTGGCTGCGCTCATGCACCTTGTTAGCACGCGCATGGCGGCTGTGGCCGAACTCTTGACGGAGTGGGCCACCGAAGTTGCCCTCACGATGCGGGTCGACATGCTCATCTTTCACCGACGATGATTGAATAGTGAAATGATATTTGGGGAGCGAGCTAGTATGCTTGAGACGCCGGCTGTGGACTATAGCAGACACACCTTCTCGTGTAAGCCATAGGTGTACTATACACCAACGGTGCTCCAGGATATCTTGTGTTGCATCTCACATGGTTGGTGATAATAAACTGTGTGCGATCTACTTGATTTTTCATCTTGATTTGAATTACATAATGGGGTCACCGCGGCAATGGACGGTTTTTGAATTGCTAGACCTTTTATCTACAGTGAACATGCAACTATATGTGCCTCGTAAAAGACTTAGAATTATTCAGGGTTCGTTTGAATATTTTATATAATAAATTGGTTTTCTAGCCATTTCAGGTGCACAATTCAAAATTAAACTACATGCACATGCTCAAGTGCACCAACATGGGTTGTAAAATCATATATGTCTTCATGGGTTTATGTGACGCCCCAAGACCGACGCTTCAGATGCCTTCCATGTATTTTGAACTTCGTCGTGTGATTTGTTTTGCTTTGTTGCATTCATCATGTCACCTCTTGCATCGCATCATGTCATCATGCCATCATATCATTAATCTTATAACTCTTATAAATAAATTGTATGGATGTTCGATCCATTTAAATCGAGGGAATGCACATGGTGATTTCTCTTTATAACACATATCCTCCTAATATTATTAGGGAGCTATAAAATTATATTCCATTAATTTGGAATTTACCACAACACACGTGCATGTTAAATCCCTTCGCCTTTCCTTCTTCAAGTTTTATCTCTCTAACCTTGCCCATAATTATTTTCCCAATTATCGAGGCTCTGTCTAAATTCTCAACACTTTTGGACACTCCAAAATCCTAGACTTTGTTCAAAATCCTTTGGTGCAAGTTAAATAATTTTGGATTTAACTTCGCCTTTTTTTGCTGGAACCACTTTTGTTGGCTTGGAAATATTCCATAAAACCTTACAAAAATATCCCACAATTTTATTCTTCTCTGTAGCAGCCTAGCCAGGCCTCTGGCCACTTGGGCCTCCTAGCAGGCCGGCCCACCTAAACCCTTCCTAACCCTAGCCCCCCATGCTCGATCGCTCACTCCCTCATCCTCCTTGTAGCGCCGCCAGCCTACCCTGTCTCATCCTCCTGATCCCCTCCTCATCTCCCTCCGCTTGATCTCCTCATGCTCTCGTTCTCCCCTGCGTGCCGCCACCCATAGGAGGGCCACCCCGCGTGCGATGGCCCTACGGCCGCTCCCTCCGTTTGGCCTCAACCACCGGAGCCACGTCACCTCCCGCCATGGCGCCCGCGCCTCTAGCCGTGTTGCGCCAACAGCGCTGCCGGCAACCCCTTCCTCTGTCGTCGTGCCGTCGTTCTGGCCAGCGAGCCCATCTCCTCCGTCCATCCCCATCGCCCCACTGCACCGCCTCTTCCTGCCAGCGAACCACGGCGTCACCACCTTCGTCGCGCCCACATAGCGCTCGGCCTCCTCCTCGACCTCGCTTCGCATACGGCAAGTAGGACCCTGCCACCGGTGACCCGAAGGACGAGCAGATAGCTCCGCCACCATCTCCAGCAGCGCCTCCGCGCCTTTTCTCCTGCCTCTCGTGCTGCCTAACCAATTCCTGCCCGAGTCCTCCTTCCCGCGTCTCCACCGCTGCCTCACGCCAGAGGAAGTTCTCGACCTCTCTGTTGACCTCTGTCACAAGTCCAACGAGCAGCGCCTTCGGGGTTTCCGCCAAGTCCTGCTCTAATGAACGTACACGCAACACCGACGACCATGAGCACCTCCTGTCAGCCGTCCACTTCGACCACATCAAGCCGGCAAGTCCGAAGACCCCAAGTACCCCGACGTCGACGACCCTCAAGTTCGTCTACGCGGTGACGCGCCAAGTTCCTTTACCGCCATCTTCGGAATCGCCAAGAACGCCAAGATCCCTTTGTGGATTTCGCCAAGTACGACCACCGTCGCCCAAGACCCGTGTTCCACAAGCGGCAAGTTCGACTACCGTGTTGTGAACCACTACTCCCACGACGACGTGTGTATCACTACTGTCGACCCTCCAAGACCCCATGGACATCAAGTTCCTTGTCATGACCCTGAACATCTACGGACATGAACAACTAGTTCTTCTTCGACTCATGAACCACTACTTCCACTACCGTTGTGAGAACGTCTACTTTCCCAGCACCGCATCGAACCCGATCCGTTCCGAAAATGCAAGCTTCCAAGGTATAATGACGAGACGACCGCCCGTGGACGAATGCTTTGTTGTATGAGATGCTTGCGTTTGCACCGTGCCCGACTTGTTTCATGCACGACCCTCGTATGCCTTGCCGCCGACACGTGGGAACCCGATTTACCGGGATCACTCCCCGTCACCCTTGCATGTTCTGCACACTTGTTCTTTTGCACCGACATTTCCATGAATTGCCGGATCATCCGAATGTTGCCGTGACATCATTTTCGGATTCATCCGTGGCACCATTCCCGTTTTGTCGTCATGGCACACTTTCCTTCCACCATGGCGACAAATGCCTCATATCATATTATGTCAACATTTCCATAGATTGCATAAACTTGTATATGTCATCCACATCATGATAACAACATTTAAAATGTTTAAAATTGTTGTTTGCATTAAATCACTATATGCACATGAGGATTTACCGGAATTGTTATTTTATGTTTTCGGTCTCATTTAAACTTGCCTAAATAGATAGTTTCTCTATGCTTCACCTCTTGCCATGTTTAACAACATTTAATATTGTTGGGTACATAAACGGGAGAGAACTAAATAAATGAATGTGGTGTTTCGTCAATATGCAACTCATTGCATATTGAGCTCCACTTAATTTGTAGTATTATTTGTGGCACTTTGCCAAATTGACATGCCTCATTAAACCGGACATGTATCATACTTGATTGTGCATCATGTCATGTTTATGTGATGGTTGTTTACCATGATGTTTGCTTCTTTCCGGTTACACTTCTCCTTGATAGTTCCGGTTACGTTGCGATTGTGAGGATCCGTTCGACTACGTTGGCTTCGTCTACCTCATGGACTCGTTCTTCTTCCTTGCGGCATTTCAGGCAAGATGACCGTCAACTTGGATCTCACTACTATATTTGCTATGCTAGTTTTCTCGATGCTATCGCTATGTCGCGCTACCTACCACTTGTTATCAAGCCTCCCAAATTGCCATGATAGCCTCTAACCTTTCCACCCTTCCTAGCAAACCATTGTTTGGCTATGTTACCGCTTTGCTCAGCCCCTCTTATAGTGTTGCTAGTTGTAGGTTGTTCCATGTTGGGACATGGATATCATGGGATATCACAATATCGCTTATTTAATTAATGCATTTATATAATTGGTAAAGGGTCGAAGGCTCGGCCTTATGCCTGGTGTTTTGTTTCACTCTTGCCGCCCTAGTTTCCGTCATACCGATGTTATGTTCCTTGATTTTTGCGTCCCTAACATGGTGAGGGGTATGGGACCCTCTTGACAGTTCATTTTGAATAAAACTCTTCCAGTAAGGCCCAACATTGGTTTTACCATTTGCCTAATAACAACTAAAACTTGCCTAGGGACTTTCCGGACCCCGGGGATTTCTTAATTCAACCCCCCAGGCTTGTGCTCCTTTGAGTGTTGGTCCGAACCGGGCAGCCTATGGGGCCACCACGGGGAAACTCAAGGGTTGGTTTTACTCGTACCTTGTCCCATCCGGTGTGCCCTGAGAACGAGATATGTGCAGCTCCTATAGGGATTTGTCGGCACATTCGTGTGGTCTTGTTGGTTTTGTTTTACCATTGTCGAAATGTCTTGTGCACTGGGATTCCGAGTCTGATCGGGTGTCCCACGATGGAGGATTGTCTCCGCGGATTGTGAGCTTGTCATGGGCTAAGTTGGGACACCCCTGCAGGGTTTAAACTTTCGAGAGCCGTGCCCGCGGTTATGTGGCAGATGGGAATTTGTTAATATCCGGTTGTAGAGGACTAGAAGTAAACTCAATTAAAATATAGCAACCGTGTTTCGTAACCGTGACTGTCTCTTTTCGAGGAAGTTTGAGAAGAGAACACAGTTGGGTTATGTTTGACCGTAAGTACTTTAGGATCACTTCTTGATCATAACTAGTTCGCGGCCGTTGAGTAGTTTCTCATCTTATTCTTGTACTCGTAAGTTAGCCACCATACAATGCTTAGCTGCTTGCTGCAGCCTCACCACCTTACCCCTTCCTTACCCATTAAGCTTTATAGTCTTGATACCCATGGTAATGGGATTGCTGAGTCCTCATGGCTCATAGATTACTACAACAATAGTTGCAGGTACAGGTAATGCGATGATTTGACGTGAGAGCGATGCTTGATTGCTTTCAGAGTTCTTCTTCTTCTTCGATCAAGGGAATAGGTTCCGGGTCGGGGGAGCCAGGGCTGACAGGGTGGATGTCGTTCTTCTTTTTTGTTTGATTTTATCCGTAGTCGGATCCTGCTCTTCTATATGATGGTTGACATGTATTGATGTATTGTTGTATGAATGATGTAACTTGTGGCGAGTGTAAGCCTTTATCTTGTATTCTCATCTATTCAGTACATGGTATGTTGTAATGGTATCCACCTTGCTATGCGCTTGAAATGCGGTTGTGCCTCAATCATGAGTTCATCACGTGATTGGGATAGAATCGCATCTTGGGCGCTACAGTTTATGCTTATGTCCCATGCAAGAAATGGGGATGAAATTCAAACACCACGGCACCGTGGCTCTCCGGCAAACGTCGATGTACTTGCTTTTGTAATTCTAGTAAAACCAAAATTTGTCCAAAATTCATGAAACCTGGCATGCTATCATGGAGCAGCATCAACATGTCATGGTAAAAATGTTGTCCCATTTGGGGCAGGTTTGGGTATAAGCTTCTCATAAACCATAGCTTCTCACAACAAGTGTGATGGTTTCGATAGGGAACAATTCACCTTTCTGGACGAAACGATATCCGTTGCCTCTTCTCGATTTCAATTTTTTCCTAGTGTCAACATAGAACAACAGGAGTGTTGTGTCAATTTTCGGAATTTTTCGGGGTTCGCTTGGACATTTTTATACATTAACTAAGTTTTCTATTGCATTCATGTGCATAATTCAAATTTCGACTATAGGCACATGCTCTAACGCATATGAATTAGTTGAAAATTCAAATTTGTGTCATTGGTTCCCTGCTTAGGTCCCATGCAAGAAATGGGAATGAATGTCAAACACCCTGCCACCGTCACTCAGCCGCAAACATTGAGCTACTTGGTTTTTAAATTCTAGTAAATCCAAAACTCGTCTAAGATTCATGAAACTTGGCATGCTATCATGAAGCGGCATCAACATGTTGTGGTAAATTTTGTGCCCCATTTGGGGCAGGTTAGGGGATATGCTTCTCACAACAAGCATGATGGTTTCGGTAGAGAACATCCCACCTTTGGGGTTGAAACAATATCCATTGCCTCTAATTGCTTTCAAAAAATTTCTCGTGTCAACATAGAACAACAGGAGTGTTGTGTCAATTTTTGTGATTTTTCGGGGTTTGTTTGGAAATTTTTATGCATTAACTGAGTTTTCAATGCATTTATGTGCATAATTCAAATTTGAACTACATGCACATGCTCCAATGCATATAAATTGGTTGAAATATCAAATCTGTGTCCTTGGGTGCATGCTTAGGTCCATGCAAGAAATGGGAATGAATTTCAAATACCAGGGCACCGTTGATTGCCGGCAAAACGTTGAGATGACTGGTTTTTAAATTCTAGTAAATCCAAAACTCATGTGAAATTCATGAAACTTGGCATGCTATCATGGAGCGGCATCAACATGTTGTGGTAAAAATTTTGTCCCATTTGGGGCAGGTTTGGTCATATGCTTCTCACAAACCAGAGCTTCTCACAACAAGCATGATGGTTTCAGTAGGGAATGTCCCACCTTTGGGGACAAAATGATATCCATTGCCTCTTATTGCTTTCAACAAAATTCTCGTGTCAACATAGAACAACAAGAGTGTTGTTTCAATTTTTGTGATTTTTCGGGGTTCGTTTGGACATTTTTATGCATTAACTGAGTTTTCAATGCATTTATGTGCATAATTAAAATTTGAATTACATGCACATGCTCCAGTGCATATAAATTGGTTGAAAAATCAAATCTGTGTCCTTGGGTGCATGCTTAGGTCCCGTGCAAGAAATGGGAATGAATTTCAAACACCAGGGCACCGTTGATTGCCGGAAAAATGTTGAGATACCTGGTTTTTCAATTCTAGTAAATCCAAAACTCGTCTAAAATTCATGAAACTTGGCATGCTATCATGGAATGGCACCCGACATGTTGTGGTATTTTTTGTGTCCATTTTGAGAGAAGGCGCACTCGAATAATGACAGCCAACAAAGGTATTTTGAAAAAATAGCTGCCACTTCAATATCTCAAACGTTTGTATAATTCAAACCATGTGCGTTCTGTTAAACATTCACGTGACGCCACGTGTCTTGGTTTTAATGGCTCTAGGAGGTGTCGCGCGGACAGCTGCTTGACCTTGACTGAACGGGAGGCGTGTGAGCCAGTCCGGTGTGCAGGCTGGCCGAGAGGCGTGCAAGATGTCCTCCAATGCGTAGGCTCACCGGGAAGCGTGCGAGTTGTACGCTGCGCAGGCTCAGTGGGAAGCGAGTCCTTTGACTTCCATGGCCGTCCGCCTTCCTCTCCGTGCGCGTGCCCCCCTCAGCGGCATGGGACACCACCGTCAAACGCTACCTCTCAGCGCCGCATTGAAGACTTCAACAACGGCGTCCCGGAGGACGACAACAACAACGACAGCGCGGCACGTCGTCTCCGCCGCCGCCGGAAATAGTTTTTTTCTTGGCTTTAATATTGTATCTCGATCATATGAATATAAATTCGTAGTATGACTGAATGAAAGATATGGTTTGAGCGAACTTGCGTTTTTCTCTCGTAATGTACAGACTTATCAAAGGATTTGCTTTTGAAATATACATCAATTGTTTTTAAATATAAAACACTCATCGCAAACATTTTAGTTAGAACACCCATAT